GGAGGGCAGAGTGGCCTTTCGGAGGTTTCCGTCCGCTGCTCTGTGATTTCTCTCGGGGGACTCTGTCTGTGCGCGTCTTAAGCCAGGGCTGTGGCTTAGTGATGACTGTCTTTAATTATTCCCACACAGTTACCACGCCACAGAACAATGTTTCATTTGGATGAAACTCAAGAGAGGGACAGCCCGTAGAAACACCAGAAAGTTACCAAGATGATCACAGGAACAGAGGAATGAAAGCTCATTCTGCCACGGCTGAGCCAGTTAGAGCTGCAGCTCACACCCCTGTGCCTCGACCCAGTGCCCAGCCCCGTCTGGCATCTCACAAGTCCAGTCGTGTCTGTGTCCTGCCTTGTAACAATGTTAACAAGGCCTGCGATTTATTACGCATCTGCTCGACGCTGGCCCTTGCGATTAGGGTTACACACGTGTCTCTGCTACTCCTCAGAGCATCCCTGCAGTGGAAGCTGCACTGGCCTCAATTTTGCAGTCAAGCAAATGGGCTTATGAGTCAAAGTAACTGGCCCAGGGCCATGATGCACTAAGAGGCCGTACAGGGATAGAATCTCCATAGTTTGACATATTTATGTGTAGATATAAACACAGATGTAAATATAAATCAATTCACAGAGAGAGAGAGAGAGAGAGAGAGAGCATATGTGGCAAAATGTTCAAAACAGTCACTCCTACTAAAGGCATGAGGGATTATCTGTATTATGCCCGAGTCTGTATTACACTTTTCTTTAGGTCTGAAACTGTTTTTAAAAAATAGGAAAACAGACCCTGTGAGTCAAGGCACAAAAAGACCACTAAGGGTTCAGTCCATTCTTAGAAGACACCAATTCTGTTTCTGTGCAGCTCTAGAAGAAAAATTACCTAACTTACTTTTTTTTAAAAAAAAAAAAAAAGCTGCAATTAAGTGATATTTTTAAAACTACCAATTAAACATGCAGGGTGCAGACTGCCTTGCTGGTCACCATGACCTAAGGATTAGAAATGTAGTATAACTTCTGGGATGAGGAGTTAATTCCTTTTCTCCTTAGAAAAGAAACAGCTTTTAGCAGGTGAATTGTTCGTCTTCAATGTGTTGAACTGGCACATCTTGCAAGTTCAGAATTAAAACAAAACCGTGAAAGCATTTAATACTAAAATAAAATATTATCAAACACTTGATACTTATAGGACTTTAGGATATTTCTATTTTTTAGGAATTGGAGATCTTTGTGTAATTCTGCATTTAAAATAGTGACCCTTTGCTTGAAATTACATCAAAAAGTGAACTAAGTTTGCCTCCTAAGTGAGGTTGATGGGGATTATTTAAAAGAAATTATTTCTATATCAATTTGATCCTGTGGGCTGGACTTTACGACATTGCCAGTATTTGACTATTTTTAACCTTGAAAACAGCATTTTCTTATGTTCCATCAAATTGTTTCATATATTGGTAGGCTAGTCTCTTGGTCAGTCTATAAGTGAACACACATTAGAATATATAGATGTTATGTTATAAAGGTGTACACCTGAAATGTATATGTTATTAACCAATGTTATCCCAATAAATTTAATTTATTTTTAAAGTGAAATTTCAGTAGTTTTTGAAGGCAACACTAGATGGCAGTAAATACACAGAAGTTGTAATATGACATTGAGTTGCTAGCATTTGGTAATGATCACTTCTGCTTTTTACTCAACTATATGCCGTAGCAAATCAAGTTTACAAAAAAAACTTAATAAATAATAAAAAACCCACATAAAAATTAAAGTTTGCTGGCTTCAGAAATGTGAACCAGAAAAGCTACTGACATGATCCATTGACCCACAATCTGAATGAGGACATTAATTCTCAATCAACATCACATCATAGTTACATTTTCTAAGTCTTCTTAGTTAAAAAAAATTCTAATAACATGAATTTATTTTAAATGTCACTTAATTTGGAGGGAAGAACTTTCAAAATAAAAGATCTTAAATTGCTTTTTACATCAAGATGTTAAAAATGTATATGTGTTTACCTTATGTTTATTTATGGCTTTTTTGTAATAGCTTTTTTGAATTAGTAACATTTCTACTCTTTTAGAGGCCATGAGTGAATATAGGAGAGTAGAGCATGCTATTTATTTAATATGCTACCAGCAAAACATTTTTAACTCAATAAACTAACACTTTATCTATACCACAGGAGGAAACAGGGAATGGAGTATAATTTTAAGGTTTTACCACCAATTTGAAAAGACACTGCAGGTCAGAGAGAAAAATCTTATAAACAGACACATGTTGATTTGATCCACTGATGATTTTGATTACTTTTCTGTAACACTCGGAATTAGAAGCTCACTATGATTTTACAAACTGATATGGTAATAAACAAAAAACTTATCTTTTCAAATTTCTTTGTAAACTTTCTACTTTCTGGATTCATTACAAGACCAGATGGCATTCAGTGCAGGTCTCAGCGACACTAGAATAAAATTAGCTAGCTTACTAATTTTTTGGTTACTTCTAACACATTTTCTGAGCTTGATTTTGTTCTAACAGAAAGTTCTCAATTTAGAAAACTAAGCTAGCATCTTCTCAAATGTCAATAAAGTAAAAACAAATAAATCTTTAAATACATTAACATGGAAGAAAGGGAGGGCTTATTTTAGTACCAATCTGTGCCTATATAACTCAACTTTTGATCAATATTTTTTAAAAAGTCAGAAAATAAGTAGCTATAGTTACTACAAACACACAACCAAATAGCCAAGATGATCTTGAGAAAGAATAACAAAGTTGAGGACCTCACATTTCCCGATTTCAAAACTTACTACAAAGCTACAGTAATCAAAGCAGTGTGGTGCTGGCAAAAAGGTAGACATCACTTATCTCCAAACACCAAGCTGTACACACTAAATATGTACAGCTTTCTATATGTCAATCACGCCCCAATAAAGTGTTAAAAGAAAAATATAGACCAATGGGATAGAATAAGAGCCCAGGAATAAACCTTCATACATGTGGCCAAATGATTTTTGAAAAGGGCGCCAAGACCATTTACTGGGGAAAGGACTATCTTTTCAACAAACGATGCTGGGAAAACTGGATATGCACATGCAATAGAAGGAATTACCTTATATCATAGGCAAAAATTAACTCAAAATGGATCAAAGGTCTAGACTTAAGACCTAAAACTAGAAAACTAGAAGAAAATCTTCATGACATTATATTTGGCAATGATTTCCTGGATGTAACACTAAAAGTAAAGGCATAAAAAGAGAAAAAAATAGAGAATTTGGACTGTTTTTCAATCCCAAGTAGTAACCAGGAACACACAGCCTCAGTCTCCTGTCTTCCCATTACCTGGCTGCTTTGCCTTCATACCAGTACATGCACGTTGCTAAACTGCCAACCAGAGACATCACTGCTTTGGAATAACAGAGGCATCTGATGTAGAAACTATTTGAAATGGATTTAAACTCTCACTTACCTCCACTGCTACTACAATCAAAATGAGGTCCGCTTTGGACTCCGGGAACAGTGCATTCACTTGCGGTGACATTCCGATCAGGGCACAGTTAGTGACCACAGATATGACACTCATTGTTTCAAAAGCCAACTGAAAGAAAAAACAACATGAAATTCAAAACAGCAATGACAGCTTCCATATCTCCTCACTGTTTTTCAAATTACTAAAATCAGGGGGAAAGCCTCTCTTTAGTTCTAAACATCCCAAGTACATTTTCCACTTTTTCTCTATAATGCTGTATTTTCTTTAGCTTAAAAAAACCATACTGTTAGCAGGTATTTTAGATTATTTTGGCTTAAATACCCTAAAGCAACATTTTCTACCTTTCCAGTTGGAGGTGGCCAGGGATCTGAACTTGGAATACATCCTAGAAAACCAGGCTTCTGAAGTTACTCCACTCACATCTAACAGGAATCTGAAGTAGGGCCACTAGAGAAAATGTCTCACATTCAAAAACAGGTAGGTACAATTTTAAATAGAATTTATTTTGTGAAATTGTCCTTCTACCTGGATAGATCACATACCATGTCTGGTTCAGCCACACCTGAGGCATGACTTACAGTGACCGCCCCCCCTTTCCAGCAGCATTTACAAATCTCATGGAGAACTTCAGAAAAATGCAGAAGGGTCCCCCCGAGACCTGCCAAACAGACGCCAGGGTCCCATGAAGGAGACCGCATAGAGTTGGGCTACGTGTTTTAATCCACTTTGCCAATCTCTGTCTTTAACTGGTGTCTTTAGACCCTTTGCAGTCAATGTAACTATTGATATGTTAGGACTTAAGTCTACCTTTTCTTTGTTTCCTGTTTGTTACCTGTTTTTTCATTTATGTTTTCTTTTTCTTGTCTTATTGCAAGATACCGAAACATCTTTTGGTGTTCCATTTTGATTTATCTGTGTTTTTGAGTATATCTTATGTATAGCTTTTTAGGGGGTGCTGTAGGTATTACATCATATATATATATATATATCCACGTATATAACTATATATTACATTTTATATATGTATGTGTATATTTATTTTTCCTTTTACTTGTATTGTTATTTATCAGCTCAGGTGAAATATTAGAAATCTTACCTCTCTTTACTATTCCATACTTATAATGTAATTGTCTTAATGTTTTCTCTACGTACAGTATTTAGAATCATTAGTGTTGTATTTTTTGTTTCAACCCTCAAAGATAACTTTAAAGAAACAAGAAGAGAAGGAAAATCTATTGTATTTACTTGTATTTTTGTTTAGGGTGCCTTTTTCTTCCTAATGTCCCCAGATTCCTAGTTTTATCATTTCTTTAGGATAGGCCTGCTGACAGTAAAAATCTCTTAGATTCCCTTCATCTGAGAGTGTCTTGATCTCTCCTTCCTCCTGAAGGATATTTCCTCTGAATATAAGATTCTGTATTGACAGTACTTTCCTTTGAGTCCTTGGAAAATATTGTGCCTCCCTCTCTGACACTGCAGTGGGGAGGCGTCGTTATGTGAGTGAAGTCCCAGCTGGTTACTCTCCTAGAAAATTGTCCAAGTTGTACACCTGAAAGGAGTCATCGAGATTATATTTACCTCCTTCGCTCCTACCCCCAATCTTAAAAGTAAGAAACATGAGGCCCAGAGAAAGTTTCTGTCTGAAGTCGCGCAGCTAGTTTGTGGCAGAGCAGGGATAAGATCCAGTTTTCCCAAATCTCTTCTTTGGGCTTTCTGTTTTTAAATCAAATGCCTCATTTTGTTATTTCTTTTAAGGGAATGATTTTTCTCAAATAATTACCTGCCACACACCAATACTGGCTGAAGGCTCTGAGAACGGACGTTTGAAGACTCTGCACATTTTTAAGGCATCTGAGTTAACTTCAGTGAAGTTATTTAGCACAGCAAAGGCCGCTGCTAGTGGGTAAACACAGGAGAAAAGGCTCACGTATCCAAACTGCAGCAGCAGCTCCAGGTAGTCGTCAAAGGTGCCCTGGAGAGGTGACCACGAGAGGAAACAGGCACTGTTTTCATATCATATAATAAGAATAACTTACCAGTGTCACCCCACTAAATTAAACTTTTTAAATTTCAAAAAAAAAGAATAGTTTTCTGCAATACTATCCATGGCATGGGTTTTAACACACACACACACAAAATCTCAAAGAGTGTCTACCAATTCCTTCTTCTCAACAACAGAATTTTACTTCAATTCAAAGGCAATTTTCTACTGAAGTCCCTGAGTTTAAGAATGGGAAAATGATTTAGCTGCTCATCTGGTACCAAATTATCGAATTATTGCACTTTGTCTAAGATAAACAACAGCAAAGCTAACGATGTTTGCTCTTGATCAAAAAGAAAAGATCCGATGTGGTGTCACTGTTAGAAATCTTACACCCCAGAATTCCTAGTCCACCTACTTAACTCGAAAGTAGTTCACGGTGTGGTTCTACTTTTCTTGAAAGTAGGAAACTGCCTGGCCGGGCGTGGCTCAGCAGTTGAGCGTCAACCTAGGATCCAGGCGATCGGGGTTTGATTCCCAGTAAGGGCACATGCCCGGGTTGCAGGCTCAATCAATGACTCTCTCATCATTGATGTTTCTCTCTCTCTCTCCCTCTCCTTTCCTCTCTCTGAAATCAATAAAGATAAAAAAAAAAGAAAAGAAAAGAAAAGAAAGTAGAGAACTAGCTGGAGAGCGCTGAGCTGAGACCATGAGAGTTTGCATGTGTGTTGAACTTGGTACCTGACTGTACTTCACACTGAGTCAATGTTAAATTCAACAGGATTCCACTTACCAAATAAGTTCCCATTTCTTTTTCCAGGATGACCTGTTCATAGAGCGTAGCATCAATGTCGGCCTTCAGAGCCTGCACCCTCTTTTTCACCCGCACGTGGTGCTTCCTCTGGAGCCAGTAGGGAAGGAGAGACTCCATCACCTGGTTAAGGATCTGGGACATAATCAGGAGCGTGGCCAGGCTCTAAAGAGAAGCACATAAATACTTGCCAGTGTACCTTAATAAAACCACAGCATGTGTATAGTTATGCAAATAAAATGGCATTTTCAACAAATAGCATATTATTGTTATCAAAACTAGTATCGGAAAAGCTAGGTGTTAGAATGATGTTTCTAATTTATTGTTTCCTCACATGGACGATTTAGATTCAAATACAAAAAGAATATAATACAAATAAGATTATAATAAAAAATAAACCAGTTATGAATCAGCAGGAGAACAAATTACCTTAAAATTGTGCTTTTTGTTATCTCATCCTGGCTACAAAAAATGAATACCTAAACGATGTTGCCAATTTCGAAAAAATAATAGTTTGGCCACAACTTAAAAAATATTATAAAACTAATACTAAATATTATAAAACTAAATATTATAAAAACTTAGAAAATGAAAAAAAAAGTCACCCACAATTCCACAACCAGGACAGGCCACTGCTGACACCTTAAATATTTCCAATCATACATAAAAATTAAAGGAGAATCATCCAGTATATATTATATACGGCTTTGTATTTTTCTTTCCTCTCATAATATATCGTGAGCACTTTCCTGTGTCATCAGAAACTCCTTCCATAGCCCCACACTGCTGCTGAATGCAGGTGTTACCCCAACTTTCACTCCTACAAGCGCTGCTCCTCGGATGCCCGCGTGCCCGGGGCCCTCGCCCCACCTCTGGTGATTTACTCGGGATGAACTCGGGCACCCGGCAAAGCTGCCGGGGTGGCTCCAGAGGTGGTATGTCAAGTTCCGCTGTCCCCAGGTGGACATCAGTGTTTCCATCATGTACCATCTCCACTGGTATGAGAATTCTGTTTTTTCAAGAATCCTCTCCCATCCCTCTGTCCCCTGTTAAATAAAGGAGGCACTCTACAGTGTAAGAAGTGAGAAGTCACACCCCCTAACACCGTAAGTGGGGCTGGAGAAGGTATGTGCATCCAACTTGTCAATTTCAAGAATATTATTTTGAACTTTTTCAATTTTTGAAAATAATTTTTTAAAAGTAGCAATATATATAGTATAGTTCTTAAGAGCACTACATTTAATTTACTTTTATGCAAGCTGTTAACTACAAAACCCTAACTTTCTCTGTTATATAAACTTTTAACTTCCTGAAAAATGATCCCAAGCTCTCATATAAGTACTCAGAAGCCTAGGCTTTGAGACTGCTCACTAACAATCACAGTGTATTAAAACCGGGAAGGAGCAGCCCTTACTGACAGCCGACTCAAGCATTAAAAACAAAACAAAACAGTAAGCAGTAACTTGTACTCAATGTATTACTCACTGTTATCACATGATCCAGAAATGGTGACACAACAAAATATATGTCAGACTTTCTTAAACATTTCAGAAAAAATACAGCTCTGCACAGGATCTGCAGGTCTCTAAAGTATAAGGATTTGCTAATTTAAAAATGAAATGTGTAAGACCTATGTCAGGAGCAGCAATCACCCCCCCCCC